ATTATTTTACTCAAATATTTATCGAAAATAAATCCATATTATGTTAAATTATAAGCAGTGTCATATTAAACGATAAAACCATCATTTTCATATTTTTATAATGCAACCAATATAAAAGACGTCTTAGATATTCATATCATAGAATTCAATTGTCATAAATAGGTGTAATAGTTATTTTATTAAATATTGTAAGAAGAGTGTTAATTCTTTGTCACTTCCATTATGTAAAAAAAATGTCTTAAAACTATTACCTACTTAGAACTTATCAATAAATAATAATATTACCTGCACGCTTGATTTGGTTTACGGTACCCAAATTATATATTAAACTCATACATAAACAGAATAAATAGTATCTTAAGGGGATTCAATACCGACTTTTTATAAGGAGTTCAGTATAGACAATTTTCCAAGTATTTGCATGCAGATTTTGTAATAATAATTGTGTTATGTCRTATGTGCGCGTAATAAAGTGATCGTTATACCTAGTGTGACTGTGGGTAAGATAAATAATAGGGAAGCGCTCCCGCACATGTACGCACAAGTCAATAACGCACTAAACGAACACACATATTTTTTTTGTCTTTTGACCAAAATATCAATTTAAATTTAACATACCTATTTATCCGGTACAGTTTCTGAAAACCAACCCTTATACGTCATGAAATTTACTTGAAAATTAATTTCTCACATTTTTCCAATATAATTAGCATCAATTTAGGTATATAATATGTATTCTAAATTTAAGAATCTAATTTCTAACGCATTTTAGTTTAATTTAAAAAATGAAAAAGTTAAGTTTTCTAACATTTTGTCTGACGACTACGATGATTAATACAATTGATAAGAGATTTTGTGAAATATTACACAGAAGGGATCGAATCCTCTTAAGTATACTTTATACTTTTATATTTYGTTGTATAATGACACTGTTGGTTAGAGATAGGGCACTTTGTAACCTATAACCCCTGCTGTTTTACGCATTTCAGGGGATGCACGAGGGCCACAGTGACATTTTTCCGGTACGATTTCGCCCAAAAAAAATTAATCACAACGCGCATCATACACAAKATAGAAAAGAATTCGGTAATTAGCTGCTTGCACGTGTCGCAGGACAAATGGAGTCGTCACTTGGCCGTGGCCACTCATTCGCAACAGGATTGCGTACTGAAAGTTTGGCGCATCGAAGACCCGCTGGAATTGTGCCCACACCACGATCAGCGCATCGATTCGAGTATCAACGTGACCGAAACCTTGACCGATCGTTACGACAGCAAACAGAATGGCCGAGCTAATTGGCTRATAAAGGTATAAATCATATTATTATAATTATGATATAATATACGCAATACGCGCGAGTAGCACCTATATCGTTAGGTTAGGTTAGGTTAGTGAGGTGGTGACGGTTTCGTGCATAGTGTTTTGAAACATATATTATTGTCTGTAGGAATGCGCAAGTCCATTCATTTATATATCAATCCTTGCAAACCACATTAAACGAAAATTTGTTTAAAAATAATACAGGGTTAAATATATATGATTTTAATTTGACATAGTTAATCAGAAATTTTTTTGATTTAAAGTGCATTATAATTTGAGAATTATAAAAACAAAAAGCTTAGAAAAGTGTTTTCATAAAAAAAAAAAATTATTTATACAATCGGATTAGTAGTAAACAAGAAATAAAACTGTGGGTTCAAATATGTTTTATTAATATTGTTTTATAATCAGTTAGTTATTTTAATATAATGGCATGATTAAATTTTTTGACAGCGCGTTGAAATAGTGTAAAATGYAAGAACCTACTGAAAGCCCCAATATTAATAGTAGCTAGTCAGCTATCGGTTAGTCAAGTAATATTTATGTATCGATTACGCATTAATAAATTTAATTTCTAATAAGTATTTATTTATTTTTTTCAYGAGGGATAATTCTATGAGCYATTTTAGGAAACTTTCATGTATTACTTACATTATTTAGTATCATAAAAATAATACGATTTTAAATTTATACTTAGGCGAAGGGTTGGGAAAATATTACTGCAGCTCCCTATGCAGATATAAAAATTTGATAAGTCCTGCAGGAAAGTTAATCAGTTCAAACAAAATATTATATATATGTTATCCTGATTAGCTATCCCAAATTCTAAAAAACTAAAATTTACATGAAATAATTTATTTTTCATTATAGTTTTAAAATATAATATTGTTGCTTACCATTCAAAAAATAAAAATAATACATAGCGAAAATATAAGAATTTAATATTGTACAATTATAATAGGTTTCTACTCTATAGTTATAGCATTGTATCAGTAAACACAATATACAAGGTGTAACAGATAGAACTGACTTTTGGACTAACTTTTTTTCAAATTAAAATTTTTAATTTTTAATTTTTGTTCATTAAGTGAACCTAGCACTACAT